AAGTCATGTATTACATTCAGGGCGAAGATCTCATTCTGATGGGCGACTTAAATGTTGATTTCTTGTCCCCTCAAACGCATCATTTTGACAATTTGAACACATACCTGCTACTTCCCCTTGATCTGAAGAATATGATTACGCACCCTACAAGGATCACACCTACATCTAAAACACTTCTCGACTGTGTACTAACGAACATGGATTGTGTTGAGCACGGAAGCGTTCACTCCTGTGAGTTCACCGATCATGAGTTTGTTCACACCAGTATTATTTTTCCGAAGTCAATTCCAACACAAGGACAAATATATCGATCCCGCCGCCGTGATTACAGTAAGGCCTCTGCCTCTGATCTCTCTCATTTATTGTCAATTTCTGATCTCGGATCCTTCTCGTCCCCGTCGGTCGATGTAATGCTAGAAGAGTGGCAAGGAAAATTTGAAGACGCCTTGGATGTGGTTGCACCCTACATAATATCACGGAGACAATCCCCTGGAAAAAGGAAGAAGTGCCCATTCATGACACCGGAATTACTAGCTCTCATTAGGCGACGTAAAACCGTCTACAGAAAGTACCGCTCGTCTGACGGCAGTAGTACGGTTCTACAGAAGGAGTTCAAAGTTCTGCGCAGCAAATGCAATAGCCTTTATCGCCAACTCCGAAATGCCCACTTCCACTCCATCTGTGACGATTACCAGCGAGATCCTAGGCGTCTTTGGAGCACCATCAACTCAGTCACCCGGCGCACAAACCCAAGAACTGAGCCTCTCGTCCAGGCAGATACCTTGAACAGGTATTTCCATAGTATTGTGTCAGATCCGAACCCGGCTTATGTTGTTCCAAGTGGTACCTCAAGACCGTGTGACTTGCACGAGTTTCGCCCTATTTCTGAGGATGAGGTACTTCGGCACCTTCAGAAACTCGACGGTACGAAAGCGCCTGGGCCAGATGGTCTCCTCCCGAGCATCCTGAAGGCCGTTGCACCAGTTATCGCCTTCTCCCTCACCCTAATATTTAATACCTCTTTGTGCACTGCTGTGTTCCCGACACAATTCAAGTTGGCTAATGTCACGCCGATATTGAAATCCCGTATGGGCGATCCTACTTCTCCTTTGAACTATCGTCCTGTGTCACTCACGTCGATTCTGGATAAGACTCTGGAACGCCTGGTTCTAAATCAGGTATGTGACAGTTTGACCATCGAAAATCACCTCCACGATCACCAATTTGGGTTCCGACCAGCTCGTTCCACGACACAACTGCTCACACTTGCTGTAAATGATTGGAAACTGGCCCAGGATCGCGGAGAGACTACCAGTGTAGCCTTTGTCGACCTCAGCAAGGCGTTTGATCGCGTCCAGCATCAACAGTTACTCGTTGCGCTCCATGGCATGGGTGTTCATGCAAGCGCCCTGCGTTGGTTTGCGTCGTACCTCGCCGGGAGATCTCAGCGTGTCGTCACGCAAGCCAGCCAGTCTTCAAGTCTTGCAGTGTCTCGAGGAGTTCCTCAGGGAAGTATTTTAGGCCCTACCCTCTTTAATGTCTACCTGAGGGACCTTCCCCGGCTTGCGGAGACAGCGGGTTCAAAATTACTGATGTTCGCAGATGACAAGACAGTCTACTCTAGTGATCCGTCGAAGGCGCGTTCCGAAGCCAAGTTGTCATCGGCACTGGAGATACTAAATAACCACATTGGCTCCATTGGTATGCAGATAAATACCGACAAAACCGTTGTCATGCAAATCCATCCCAAACGTGCCACAGGGAGTCAGCAACAACAACAAAGGCAACAACTGCAAATCACCTTGTCAAATGTTACGCTAGGGGAAGTGGAAAGCACCAGATGCTTAGGAGTCGTTGTTGACAATAAGCTGTCCTTTGACCAACACATTAACAATGTCGTCCGGAAAGCCTCACGGAAGATCGGTGTACTGCGTCGATCTTTCCGCCAGATGAACCTGTTTGCCCGCCGTACTTTCGTTGTCGGTGTTATTCAGCCTGATCTAGAATATGCTCTCCCTGTATACCTTTCGTTTATATCCGCTAAAAATAGAAACAAGCTAGCCTCACTCCACCGGCGCGCTGTACGAGTTGCTTGTGGCGCATCACCCCAAGCTAATATCAAGCCACTTCTTCACCACCTCAATGTTTCCTCTTTCAAATATCGATCAGTATTTTTGTTCCTTGTATTCATTTTCCACTGTTACTGTATTAAGCCGGCTGCTTGCTTGCAGTCCCTCTTTCCCATCTGTACGTCTACCCGAACTACTCGCGGCTCTACAACTCATAACATGAGTATCAATCGCTATAGATCTATGTCTGGCTTTCTGTCCTTTTCAAGTAAATCGGCTCTTGTTTGGAATTATTTACCAGACGACCTGAAGTCCTGCACTACTATCGCAGATTTCCGCGTCAAATTGGTTATTTGGCTAAAAGACAGCTTAACTCTTAATCATTGTTGTGATTTGCTTTCAAGCAATGTGCATAATCAGTAACTTGATGTTGCTGTTTTTTTGTTTTTTTTTGTTTTTTGGTTTCCCGTTCTCGGGGCCTTCTATTCGGTACTCTTTGTAGTTGTACTTCTGTACTGTTGAGCTATCCGAATTCAAATAAACATTAAAAAAAAAAGACTGGAACCTCCAGATGCGGACATTACAGCCAGAACAAAATGATGTCTGCTCTACGGTCCTCACGTGCTCGCCACGATAAAGCTCTTCTCATTCTCATGATTTCGATAGACAGTGGGAAGAGGTGCAGCAAGGTTTGACAATGGTTTGACAACGCATGTGGGTTAAATACCCGTACATCGTAATGCCTCACTGACCCACAATCCACCGACACCGATATCTAGGCAAGCGTGGTCATCAGTTGTTGGCGACCGACGCGGAAACCGCTCTCTGGCCAGTGGATGGAGGGACGGCTGAACGGACATAATATGTGCAGGGAACGACATGAAATCGTTGGAGTGCCATTTGTTTGGATGAATGCAAGAATCTCTCATCATTGCACCAGCGAGTTTCAGTGTCATTGCAATTGTGATAACCGTTCAATGATGATGTCAGTGCATGTAGCAAGTGTGATAACTGTTCAATGATGATGTCAGTGCAAGTGTGATAACTGCTCAATGATGATGTCAGTGCAAGTGTGATAACTGTTCAATGATGATGTCAGTGCAAGTGTGATAGCAGCTCAAAGATAGGGAAGGCCTCTTTTACGGGCAAAGCAAAGCACAATCATCACCATGTATCAGTATAGTGAGTAGTTAAACCCAACACGAATGAAAAATGTGAAATGGAATAAAAACAATATTTGTAAAAAAATTAATAAACAAAAATTCAATATCGAAAACGAATAAAATAAAATAAAAATATGTAAAAAATAAAAATAAAGAGAACAAATTCTGCAGTCATCGCCACACTACAACGAAGTCATGAAAGTTTACCAGAATTAATTTTCTTGTCACATTCATCAGTGGAAAGTCGTGACTGAAGAGTTACCATGCTGAACAATGATAAAATATACATTCAATGATGTGTTACGAGAACAAAATACAGTGCCAAAATAGAATGAGGGAAGGTGAGACAATAGAAGTGAAGTGAGAGCTAAGTGCAACGGTGGGTGAAAAACTAATAATTATAACGCTAAAACTGTGTAGTGAGACAAACAATCATGCTGTGCACCTACGAAAACAATTTTAACGCAACTACATGTTTCTTCTGCTTACAAAGATCAGGCTTATGCAAACGAATACAAACAGCCTCAAGTACTTTCCACTGACTAGCATACCGTGCACGACAAAGAACAGAAAAACTAAAATCATCATACACCTGCAGACACTTAGGGTGAGACAACAAGTGAAGAAAAACGGCAGACTTCTTACGATCACAATCACCATCTGATTCCTCGTCTCCAACAACCGCAACCTCGTCCTCCATCTCATCTCCCAACTCGTCCTCAGTGTCGTCCTCCGTGTCATTCTCCTCATCAACACCGATCGGTCCCAGGCTCGCTTCATGTTGTTTAACCTCTGTTCGTTGACTCCTCCTTTGATCTTAATGGCAAATTGTTACCATTGTTGTTGTTATTGTTGTTGTCGTGTCATTCAGTCATGCATAGAGACGATCTGTTGGCTCCTCTCTTGGTCTCCACCCTACGAGAACAGCCAACTTATCTGGACCCATCCCATAAGCTATTTCTCGGCGCTCTCTCGTGCTAATCTTTGAAAGCTTTCATACATCATTGGTAGGGCTTGGTGTGATGTAAAAGAAAGCCACTTCCTTTCCTACATTGTCGGAATCGGTCTATGCACAAGCGTAACATGTACTTCAGTCGTGGCCAAAGAAATCACACCCGCAAGTCAAACGTAGCGCCACGTTTGCACTCCAATGGCATCATGCACACTCCTAAAACGGATTTCGAGGCCGAGGGCCGCAGCGGCCGCATGAGACTTGGCATTGCTTTCGTCACGTGGGTTGGCCAATTGGATTTCTTTGGCCACGACTGCTCAGTCCTCATGTACTAGTGTATAATAATGGAATGACGGCAAGTAGTTATTTCTGTGATAAACTGTACTCTGTAGTGTGTAAAACGCCTGGTGCAGTGCAACACCTAAGTACACATGTACTACAATCATCATATAGTTAGTATGGCCTTAAGGATAAGTCCTTGTAACCTGAGATTAGTTACCAGGACAACAGGCACTTCGTACATAACTACTCTCTCACACATGCAGTCATCTTTAAACAATTAAGCTCTATTTCTGATTCCTGTTATCATGAAATACATAGTCAGCCATCTCTCTGTTCCCACGTCGTTTCTCCACTGACCAATTTTGTCATTATCAAATGTCAGCCTTCAGCATATCTCTGCTGTATTGGAGAGCGATGGAAAAAAGGATTTACATATGGATTAGCTGAACTATAGTCACCATCAGTACACACACAGGTGAAAACAGCTCAGTAACATGCTTCACCGCACTCATACATTGCATCCAGCACAACACATTGAGCAGCAGACAGCACACAGGCACACTGTGAAGGTCGGGTCTCCGTATGGATAACAAAAACAAGACTTCCGAATAATGATGATGAAAATAGCGAGAGTGCACTGCACCGTACAACAACTTGTGTACCGTAATGACGTAATGACGTAATGACGTAATGATCCGGCAAGGCAATTGCAGCAGTGGTACATTGTGTAGACCATGGTAAAGTGTAAACGCATCATGTTAAGTGCAATGATAAGGAAAACAAGTGCAAGATCAGTGCAGACACACAGACACACACACACACACACATTCTGTGCTGTAATTAGAAAAGAAGGCATGCAAAGTAAATTGCTGTTCCGACAAAGTGTGTTCCTTACAGCCACAGAAAACAAAGTAAGAAAACAGCAGAGCATGAAAATACATTGCCGACTCCAACCATGTAGAATAGCAAGCGAAAGGCAACGGCAGCGAAAACAGCTGGCAACACAACAGCAACGAAAACAGCTGGCATTGAAAAAGCAACAAAAACAGCTGGCAGTGAAAAAGCAACGAAAACAGCAAGGAAAACAGTGATGAGCGGCACAAAGACCACACTGTGATCTCACATCATGGGTAAAAGTAATGAAGTGCATGATCAGTCCACACACCCACCCACACACGTATTCTGTGCTGTAGTGATAAGAAATGATACAAGCGAAACAGCAGTGTACACAAACACATGTTGTGTAACTGCCACAGAAAACGAATGAAGACATCACTGCACACACACACACGCAATCATATTAAAGGTCGGTAGTGATGTAGGCCGGCAATGGAATAACAATGACAAAAAGCTCACTGGGGTCTGGAATGATGGGTAAAAAAGAGGGAAGCCGTGGGTAACACAAACAAATTCTGTGTTGTAATGATGAGAAGAATAACAAGCGAAACTGCAGTGGAGTAGTTCACAAACATAATAATTGCGTCATGTAAAAATAAAAGTAAAAAACAAGTGACATCGCAATGCACACACGTACACATACATTTCCATGAGGCAATGATGGAGACTAGCAAGTGAAGCTGCAGTGAAATCCACAAAGCATGTTGTGATCAGAAATGATGGATAAAAACGAGTCGAACTGTTCAACATGCAAACAACCATGACAGTGTGTTCTGTTCCGTTGTAGAAAGCAAGCCGAACGGGAACGTAAGGGCAAAAACACACATGGACATCATTGATGACGAAGAATAGCAAGTGAAATGGCATAAGCTCCTTTTTGAAAATGTTTTCGATGAGTGATGTGTCGCTTTGTTTTGCTCTAATTGGTGCTTTTCTCCAATGTCATGCAGTCGTATTTATTCAGCTTTTATTTCTTGTGTACTTGCATACTGGTATTAGTTTAGTCCCACAATCTGCGATAAAATGATCAGCTGTAGCACCTACTCCACTTTTATGTTTATGTATCTATGTCATTCGGATCTTCCCAAGTTGTACAATGTACTGTTGAGATACCGAATTCAAATAAATCAATACCATACCATACCATACCATAACACACAAGCACTTTGTGCTACAAAAATAGCTAGGCAAATTTTGCAGGCGGCAAGAAGTGTACATGCACAAACAAACACACACACTCGCGCACACACACACACACACACACACACACACACACACATATACAAACACACAAACAAACACTCACACACATACATACATTCATAAAACAACTTAAAAAAGACGAGTGAAGGCCATAGTGAACACAAACACAAATCCATAGTGCTCTTCAATACTGAGGCAAACAAGTGAAGGATTTGTATGCATACATGCATGGCATATGCAAGTGAAGTAGTAAACAACAAATTGCCACAATGGCCAATTTCTAGCCAGCATTACTACGGATTGATAATGGAAGACATCAGACACTGTTCCGACTCTGGCGTCAGTGACCATGAAACGATAACCTGGTTAGAGAGTGTAGACACCTGTAACCTGTATGTGACAAACAAACACATATATGTACACACCATTTATATACACGTGTACACAAATACATGTACACACACACGCACACACGCACACACACACACGCACACACGTGCACACACACACACCATGTACCATGAATACGCCCGTCGCAAAAGAAGCACAAAATATGCAAATGCACTGGACGTGCACCCACAGATTTTCTCTAAAAGCAACGATGGGGAACAAAATCTGAATGAGACAGATCAAGACTTGCGCCAGATAACTCTCTAATCCACACAACTGGCGAAGCCAGGTGAATCGACCACCAATGCACACCTGGTCTACACCACATGGAGGACATCTGCATAAAACGGCAAAGGCAGTTACCTATGCACATCCTACACTTGCTGGGGTAACTAGTGTAGACAGCATGCTGCTTTGATAGAAGCAGACACTTAGATTCACTGGTACCTTGAAGTGAAAATGGAGTTACTTTACCAACCAGCCTCGGCTACTGAGTACTACCAACCCAGAGCCAACAGACATACCAACAACCTCAGTCATGAAAGATATTATAGTAAGGACACACTGGCTTGTGGAGCCGAAACTAGTCCAACTTCCAAATGCTTACACACACACACATACACACACACACACACGCACACACATACACACACTCACCACACACGCACGCACACACACACTCACTCACTCACGCACACATGGGCACACATGCACTAAACACACTTCAGTGCATACTTGGTCCATCTAGTAAAAATTGGCGCATATCTTCACACTTGATAATAAGTTGATTTTTCGGTGTTCTGCCTGTGTTACACGGCATGGAAGCACCGATTCACCGTTCTAACACAACCATTGTGCATTGCTTCCGACGACATGGCAGCACAAATCATCACAGAAGTTGCGATCGGTTCGTTTGAGTCTTTTCACTGGAGCTGGCGCCAACGAACACTTCCGTCAGCGCAAGAAAACGCTGCAACCTCTGTTCCAGTCCATAAAATAAGTCGGGATGTTCGCATTTCAGAGCGAAGGAGAATACACTTTCTGCTTACTTCCAGCTGTCTGGTGGCGAGAATGGTTGACCGCAGGGAGTGATAGAAAAGCTGGAAAAGTGCTTCGCGAGCTTGAATTTCAATGCTCGCACATTACAGCGCCCAGTGAAGAGTTATCACCAGCAAATCGCTGACGAAGAAACTACAGCTCATGTAGACATCTCCAGAACATGATACCAATCTGGCAGACACACTTTGAGGCTCACAGAGGACCGGGCAAAGGAGCTAATCAAGATATACACCAAGTCCTGAGGGAAACACTCGTGCAAAGGACTTTCAGGAAACCAGCCGAAAAGACTGGTGCAATGCGCTATGACTTAGGAAGTGAGGTGCAGTAGATCTACACATAGGTGTTACATCAATCAAGAGGAAGCTATCACTGCGGCCAAACAATTTTCAAGCAGTTGTCATGGCAACCGGCAGTGGTGATGTAATCATATAGGAGTGTGCTGATCACTGACCTGATTAGACTCGATCACTCTCCGTCAGCAAACTGTTCATCTGCTCAAGCCGTGTTGTGTACTGTTGTCCATAACCCTTGACGATGTTGCACAGCTTGATGTAGCCATCACGTTCCTGTGCCATGATGATATCCAGCAGCTCACAGTTGTGGGCTTCCTTACCACGGTACTGCTCAGTGATCATAAGCTTGTTGATCGGAGAAAGATCCGTAAAGAAGCCGTGCTTCTGCGCTTTGCCACGTAGGCCAGCAGCACCTAGTGATTGCAGCCAGATGTGGATATCAGCAATGAAGATGGCGTGCTTGAATGGGTTCTTCAAGAACGTCTCTGAAAAGCAGAAAAGAAAGTGATCATATATTGCTGAGGCCAATGTACAATCTGATCCGGTACTGTTTCTGCCAAAGCAGCAAAGGCAGTATAAATGTTCTGCAGACAAAGTGCCTGTTACGTCAAATGATCAAATACCCTTAGAAACTATTCCAGCCCGTCAATTTTATTAAATAAACAACGAGGAGATAAAAGCTTTCCCTGATAAGTCTTTCATGAAAATTGATTAGGAAATTTTGCTTTTAGATTCATCATATTCTTCTCTTTTTGTTTCGTATCCTCTGCCTCACTCATACTATTCTTGACTTGTTTTATCGGTTGAACGCGTCCTTATCGACATCAAGCTTTTAAGTTGTGCATTTGCCTCATAATGCATGCTGCCAGAACACTCTGGTTGACTTTGCTATGAATGAAGGCACAGTTTTCACATCTGACAATAACGAGATTGTTTCAATACTTCTACACCAAGGTACCTGACAATAACGAGATTGCTTCAATACTTCTACACCTTGGTAGATCTACCTGCCGTGGAATTTGCCTTCACGGTGCTTGCAGTACTTTTCTCACGGTGCGTGCAGTACTTTTCTTCTCTCCAGCACATTTCAGGACAGGATGATACAGATTTTGCTCTAGCTCGTTTTTGCTCTCGCTTTCATTTTTAAAACTCACACTTGTGAATTTCACTGCTGTTGTTCTTAGTGTTGTCGTGCTACGACTTGCTACGTCATAATTCTCACAGTCACCCACGTGGCTTTTGTGCTGCCCACGCTGCACTTTTCCGCAATGTTTTTGGAAGCACTGGCTTTAGCGTACGTTAGCATATTGGCGTACCGTATGCCACGAACCTCACTTTTGCATACGGTTGCCGCCAGCCAGCTTGCCTTTCTCTTCCTGACAATCTCTCTCTGCTTGCTTGGCCCTTGCCGAAGCACCTTTTTATGGCTCCTTGCCCTTGTACTTATTTCTTGTTCTTATGTAGTCTGCCGAATCTTTCTAACTGTAACGTGTAAAGTAATCATTGCCGCTAACTGTCGAAGTGTCCGTTGCGACCAGGAAGTGGCCCGATTCGCGCGCCCCCTTAGCAGGCGCAGACCTAAATTTGCTAAATTGGTGACCCCGATATTTCTGTAGGCAAGGCTACATTGTTCACCATGACCACGCCGGCCAGCAACGGGAAGGGCCGTGGAAAACCTTTCCCGGACGCACCCTCAGTTACCAGGGAGGAACTCATGGAGCTCAGGCAACAGCAGCAGGCTCTGCTGGACCAGCTCAACAAGGCACAGGCCACAGCCAGTACCAGTGGTAGTGTTATTGGTAGTAGCCCTGAGTTGGACCGGCCCCCAGCTGTGGCAGCCGTCAGTATCAAGCTGCCCGATTTTTACCCTTCGGATCCCGCTCTGTGGTTTGCCCGGGCTGAGTGTCTCTTCAGTCATCGTGGCATCACTGCCCAGCGGACCAAGTTCGATTATGTAGCTGCGGCACTGTCGGAGCAGTTCTCCATGGAGGTCCGAGAGCTGCTCACCAGTCCCCCGCAGACTGAGCCATACACGACGCTGAAAAGCCAGCTCATCGCCCGCACTCAGATGTCTGAGCAGAAGCGACTCCGGCGTCTGCTCACGGAAGAGGAGCTTGGAGACCGCACCCCATCCCACCTGTTGCGCCGCATGCAGCAGCTTATTGGCTCCAGCCAATTGGATGAGTCGATTTTACGGGAGCTGTTTTTGCAGCGACTTCCGAGCAATGCCCAGCTGGTCCTTGCGTCGACCCCAAAGGCTACAAGCCTTTCCGAACTAGCTGCCATTGCTGACCGGGTTATGGAGACAACCCAGGCCTCAGTCTCCGCCATCCAACGCCCATCACAGGACGACGCTCGGATGTCCGCCCTGGAGCAACAGATTGCTGCCCTGACCGAGGCCGTCAGCTCTCTGCATAAACGGTTGGACGGATCCCGGGGTCGCAGCCCTGGCCGTGGATCTGGTCCACCGCGCTCACGGAACAACTCGCCTGGTCGGCCCGGCCTGTGTTTCTTTCATAGCAAGTTTGGCGACCAAGCTAAGAACTGCCGACCACCCTGCTCCCGGTCGTCAAACTAGCTGGCCAGCCCCTGTTGGCGACCAGCACCGCTGGCCTGCAGACCACATGTCGCCTATTCTATGTCCGAGACCGTGTCACGGGATTGCGTCTCCTAGTCGACACTGGCGCCGCCGTCAGTGTCTTGCCAACCACGTTCCGTAAAGGCAAGCAGACCGCCGTCATTGACACGTTGCGTGCAGCCAACGGAACTAGCATTCCCACATATGGCTGTCGATCGCTCACCCTTGACCTCGGTCTTCGTCGGTCATTCCCATGGCTCTTTGTGATCGCCGATGTTTCTAGTCCAATTCTCGGAGCTGATTTCCTCCACAAGTTTGGTCTCACTGTAGACATCCGCAACCGTGCCCTGCATGACACCGTGACCGATCTCTCCGTGCACGCCGTCCTAGCTCACGGCCAGGATACTTCGTCTCTAGCACCGCCGCTCACCGAGCAACCGGAGGTGAATTTACTCCTGCAGGAATTCCCTGGACTGACCAATTCTGCAGCTCAGCCCCAAACCATCAAGCATGACACCGTTCACTTCATCGAAACGGTGGGTGCACCCGCCCATGCCCATGCACGCCGTCTGCCACCCGATCGCCTGGCCGCCGCTAAGGCTGAGTTTCAGCACATGGCTGATCTAGGCATCATCCGGCCATCCTCCAGCCCGTGGTCTTCGCCCCTGCATATGGTGCCTAAGTCAGACGGCGATTGGCGTCCCTGCGGTGATTACCGTGCGCTAAATGCCAAGACGGTCCCAGATCGGTATCCTGTCCCCCACTTGCAGGATTTTGCTAGTTCGCTCCACGGCACTAAAATTTTCTCCAAGGTTGACCTCCGGCGGGCATATCATCAGATTCCCGTCCACCCTGACGACATACCGAAGACAGCCGTCGTTACGCCATTCGGCCTCTACGAGTTCGTCCGCATGCCGTTTGGCCTGCGCAATGCAGGCCAGACATTCCAAAGGTTCATAGATCAAGTACTGCAGGGCCTCCCCTTCTGCTTCGTCTATATGGACGACTTGCTAATCGCTAGCACCTCTCGAGAAGAGCACCTGGAGCACATCCGTACTGTGTTTCAACGTCTCGAGGACCATGGCCTCATCATCAGCTTGCACAAGTGTGAGTTCCTGGCACCGGCCGTCGACTTCCTCGGCCACCGAGTCGACGCTGCAGGCCTCCACACCCTGCCCGAGAAAGTGCAAGCCATCATTGAGTATGCTGAGCCTGCAACTCTCCGTGCACTCCGTCGTTTCCTGGGGCTAGTGAACTTTTATCGCCGGTTCATCCCCAGGTGTGCGAAAATAGTGCAACCGCTCACTGATCTTCTCGCTGGCCCCAAGACGCCGAAGAACAAAGCTATCGTCCTCAGTGACACAGCTCGAGCTGCCTTCACTGCCGTCAAGGAAGCCATTAGCGCTGCTACGCTTCTCACGCATCCCCAACCTGACGCTCCGATCGCCCTCATGGTCGATGCGTCCGATTTTGCTGTTGGTGCTGCCCTGAACCAACTGGTCGACTCGACTTGGCAGCCCATTGCATTCTTCTCGAAGCGGTTACAGCCGGCCGAAACACGCTACAGCACATTCAGCCGAGAACTCCTGGCAATCTACCTGTCCATCCGCCATTTCCGTCACTATCTCGAGGGTCGAGAGTTTACAGTGTATACGGACCACAAGCCCCTGACATTTGCTCTCCGCACCGCGTCCGACCGTCTGTCCCCACGCGAGCAGCGTCAACTTGCATATGTGGCAGAGTTCACCACTGACCTGCAGCACATCCAGGGCGTGGACAATGTGGTTGCGGATGCGCTCTCCCGACCGTCTGTCAATGCCATCCAGCAACCCATTGATTTCACCAAGTTTGCGGCTGCCCAGACCAACTGCCCAGAGCTCGAGGCACTCCGTACTCGTCCAGACACCAGTCTCGATTTCAAGTCTATCTCGCTGCCGTTCTCTCCTGTCCCGCTCTTGTGCGATGTATCCACCGGTACACCACGGCCGTATGTCCCAGAAGCATTCCGTAGACCTGTTTTCGATTCGCTCCACAGCATTAGCCACCCTGGCATCAAAGCAACTCAGCGTCTGATCACAGCTCGGTATGTTTGGCCTGCCATTTCTAAGAATGTGCGCGCTTGGACTCGCTGTTGCCATGAATGTCAGCGGTCCAAAGTACACCGGCATACCTCGGCACCACTGTCGAAATTCATGCCGCCTGACGCCCGGTTCGATCACATCCATATCGACCTCATCGGACCTCTGCAGCCATCCCAAGGTTTCACGTATCTGCTAACGTGTGTGGATCGTTTCACCCGTTGGCCCGAAGCAATACCACTACGCGACTGTACAGCCGAGGCAACCGCACACGGCCTGCTACAATGGGTGTCCCGTTTTGGCACTCCATCAGTGATCACCACCGACCGTGGCAGACAATTCGAGTCAAGCTTATTCGCTGCATTGTTGAAGCTACTCGGATCCTCCCGCCTACGCACCACTGCGTATCACCCCCAGAGTAACGGCTTGGTCGAGCGATTCCACCGCCACATGAAGTCCTCTCTAATGGCACAGGCATCCGGCAGCTGGTCACACAATTTGCCCCTGGTCATGCTCGGCATCCGTGCAGCGTACAGAGCCGATTTAGACTGCAGTGTAGCCGAGCTCACCTACGGCACAACACTGCGTCTTCCTGGTGAATTCTACGAGCCCAGCTTTTCAACCTCACCCAGCCCGTCTCACTATGTCCAAGCCCTCCGCACATCTCTGCAGGCATTACGACCCACCACTCCCAGATCCAGCAACCGTTCCGTGTGGGTGTCCGGCGACCTAGCCACAGCGACGCATGTGTATGTCCGCACGGATGCTGTGCGTAAACCCCTCCAGCCGCCCTATCAAGGCCCGTTCAAGGTTATCTCTCGACACAACAAGTACTTCACCATACTGCTCAATGGCAAGGAGGATAGTGTCTCCATTGACCGGCTCAAGCCTGCGTATCTCTCCGACACTGCCGCGAGTGCGCCACCTGTCTCGGCCATCCTGCCAGCGACCACCCCATCTGGGTCAGTATCAATTCAGCATCGTATTGTCCGTTGGCATGAGTGAATTCATTGGAATGACTGAATTTCTTGTGTGTGATCGTCATCAGTGCATACACCCTGTATCCATTTGCAATGACTTGTAAATATTCTTGTACATATCCACTTTATATATTTCTCGTTTTCTTGCCGCTTGCTATACCGCATCCGCCATAGCAACACTAATCTTGTACATTTACTTAGCCTTATTCAATCTGTTTTCTACATTTCGTGCACTATCCTTCGTCAGTCCACTGGCGGGGGAGTGATGTCGTGCTACGACTTGCTACGTCATAATTCTCACAGTCACCCACGTGGCTTTTGTGCTGCCCACGCTGCACTTTTCCGCAATGTTTTTGGAAGCACTGGCTTTAGCGTACGTTAGCATATTGGCGTACCGTATGCCACGAACCTCACTTTTGCATACGGTTGCCGCCAGCCAGCTTGCCTTTCTCTTCCTGACAATCTCTCTCTGCTTGCTTGGCCCTTGCCGAAGCACCTTTTTATGGCTCCTTGCCCCTGTACTTATTTCTTGTTCTTATGTAGTCTGCCGAATCTTTCTAACTGTAACGTGTAAAGTAATCATTGCCGCTAACTGTCGAAGTGTCCGTTGCGACCAGGAAGTGGCCCGATTCGCGCGCCCCCTTAGCAGGCGCAGACCTAAATTTGCTAAAGTGTTATTTCTCTAACTTAGATTTTCTATGATAGCTCCATTTTGTTTCAGTGTCCTTTAGTACAACAACGATTCGTGATGAGTGGTGCACGAAGACTTGTTCGAATCCTTGTTTTCTCTACACAATTTCTGCATATTTTCATCGCTTTATTGTACATTGTCTCCACCGTTTCACATTGTATGAATAAAGTGTACACAAAATGTTGATTCAGCTTGTCTTATTGATTGCGGTTATCAAATTTTTGTCTCCTTGCCGTTTGTTAAAGTATACTTATACCTCTCCATATTCACCCTATCATCCCTACAGCCCAACAAACGAGTCACGTTTGTCATACATGTACATGTACGCAGAACTAACGTAAGTCGTTGTTACTTCACTACACACTGGCATGTTCTTGCATGAATCGGAGAGTGATGTGTTCCTGACAGAGTCTTGTTCAACTTTTTGTTAGGATCGATCGTGTAGACATACAGCACCGAGTACTGCTCTCTTTACAGTAAGTATGGAAAAGTGGTGAATAAGTGGTGAATATCAAGCAATATCCACCACTTCTGTTGATAGTCAATTGCATGTGGGTGAATATGGGATGAAGTATAAGCCAGTGTATATAGAGCAAGAAGGTAGACAAGAAGGTATGTATTTTTGTGTGTTTTCGTGTATGTATATAGCATACAGACAGACTAAGACAACAATGGTAACAGCACACAAATTGAAGGGCAGTTGAGTGCAACTAGATGAGAACAGTATAAAGAGAGCAGTCTTATGTTAAAAGGAATAACGCACCTGTTTCTTCAGAGAGCTCCGCTTCATCCTCCTGATACAGGTTTGCAATGCGTTCGTCCGTTGACCACATGGCATGGCTGAAGATACACACGCACACCCACCCACACACACACACACACACACACACACACACACACACACACACACACACACACACACACACACACACACACACACACACACACACACAAACACACAAACACACACACACAAACACACACACACACACACATTCAAAATGAACAAACATGGAACATACTAACTATTTGATGACATACATCGATACTTGCACACACATGTAGATGACCATATTGCTGGCCGCACTCCTGAGCGCATTCCTGCTCACACTCTTGCCAACGCCCAAACTCCTGCCCTCACTCCTGTCCGCACACTTTGCCCACACTCCCCTGCCCACACTCCCCCCCCCCCCCGCCCACACTTCTATACCCACACTCCCCTGCCCACACTTCTCTACCCAATCTTCTCTACCCACACTCCCCTGCTCACACTCCCCTGCCCACACTTCTCTACCCACACTCCCATGCCCACACTCCCCTGCCCACACTTCTCTACCCACACTCCCATGCCCACACTCCCCTGCCCACACTTCTCTACCCACACTTCTCTACCCACCCTTCTCTACCCACACTTCTCTGCCCACACTCCCCTGCCCACACTTCTCTGCCGACACTCCCTGCCCACACTTCTCTGCCCACACTCCCCTGCCCACACTTCTCTGCCCACACTTCTCTACCCACCTTTCTCTACCATGGCTCCGGGTTCACGGAGGTGTGTTTACTCGCTGACATTATGCCATCCTTGGTTAGTGCACCCACACAGTTACTGGCCACAGCGTGAGCGGATCTAGCTTCCCCAGTTGACCCCCTTTCAGAAGAACAGTGTACACTCTGCCCACACTCCCCTGCCCACACTCCCATGCTCATACTCGCCTGCCCACACTCCCCTGCCCACACTCCCCTGCCCACACTTCCCTGCCCATACTTCTCTGCCCATACTTCTCTGCGCGCATTCCTGATCACACTCCTGCCCACACTCTCCTGCCCACCCTTCTCTGCCCACTTCCCTGCCCTCTTTTCTCTGCCCACACTTCTCTGCCCACACTCCCTGCCCACACTCCCCTGCCCACACGTCTCTGCGCGCATTCCTGATCACACGCCTACCCACACTCCTGCCCACCCTCCTGCCAGCCTTCATCAACATGCTCATACTCCTCCCCTCACTTCTCTGCTCGCATTCTTGATCACACTCCTGCCAGCCTTTCTGAACACGCTCATACTCCTCCCCTCACTTCTCTGCTCGCATTCTTGATCACACTCCTGCCAGCCTTTCTGAACATGCTCATACTCCTCCCCTCACTCCTCTGCTCTCATTCTTGATCACACTCCTGCCAGCCTTTCTGAACACACTCATACTACTCCCCTCACTTCTCTGCTCGCATTCTTGATCACACTCCTGCCCACACGCCTGCCAGCACTCCTTCCCACAAGCGCGCGAAGGACTAAAGGGACCGTCACTTAATTTTTGCCGACTACCCGCCAAAAAAATCTTTTCGTTTCACGTGTCAGACAAGTCCGCGTGCGCCTACGATCACGACTAGCGACTACGTAGTCGACTCGCTACCTTTCACGTCAAGCAATCTGTTCACGCCACATGGCTGGATATCGATACTAGTTCGTCCACCAACAATTGAAATTAATGTTTCTCACTTGAACACTCTGTAGAGCTGTCGCTGTCGTGACAAGGCCGTGTATACTCCAAATCTACATGTAGGATGAAGAGTAACAGTTAATACTGCTGATAATGCTGATAATGAAGTTTGCTCCACAATCGCTCAGAATGTTAATGTGTGTCCATGGAGTACTAAAACGCCCAACGTGGATGAAACGGACAACAGCAGCGGCTAGAGCGTTCTCCTTCCTCGGTGAACACTGCTACAAGACACTATGCTTGATGATTCACCAAACACCAAGTCACCATCGTTGGGGGCCAATTCAGAAGTTTTCCGGCACCAGCGAGTTGTTCGTCCAGCAACTAACTTTGAGTCTTTCTTCAACACTTCGTAGAGCAGCCGCGCAAGGCCTTTCCTTCACGTTAGGGTAGCGATCCTTCCTAGATGCTATCGCCATTCATTGTTACTTTTTACTACTGTACAATGACACTCCAGTAGTGTTTCTCCGAAAATAAAGTCAACTGCCATTACTGGGTAAAGAGTCAGTACTCTCACAACAGACTCAGTAGCAGCTCGGCCTAGCGCCTATCTGGACTTGTAAAAATTAACAATTATTTTGCAAGTCTTCAATCATGTATTGTTTGCTTGAACGCGCTATCGATATCCAGCCACGTGGCGTGAACAGATTGCTTGACGTGAAAGGTAGCGAGTCGACTACGTAGTCGCTAGTCGTGATCGTAGGCGCACGCCGACGTGTCTGACACGTGAAACGAAAAGATTTTTTTGGCGGGTAGTCGGCAAAAATTAAGTGACGGTCCCTTTAGTCCTTCGCAGCGCCACTCCCTCCCACGCTGCTCAGTCCTGCCCCCACTCCTCACTATTACCTACACTACTGCCTGCACTACTGCCTACACTACTGCCTACACTACTGCCTACACTACTGCCTACACTACTGCCTGCACTACTGCCTGCACTACTGCCTACACTACTGTCTACACTACTGCCTGCACTTCTGCCTACACTACTGCCCAAACTACTGCCTGCACTACTGCCTACACTACTGCCTACACTACTGCCTACACTACTGCCCACACTACTGCCTGCACTACTGCCTACACTACTGCCTACACTACTGCCTACACTACTGCCTGCACTACTGCCTACACTACTGCCTACACTACTGCCTGCTCTTCTGCCTACACTACTGCCTACACTACTGCCTGCACTACTGCCTACACTACTGCCTACACTACTGCCTACACTACTGCCTACACTACTGCCTACACTTCTGCCTGCACTACTGCCTACACTACTGCCTACACTTCTGCCTGCACTACTGCCTGCACTACTGCCTACACTACTGCCTACACTACTGCCTACACTACTGCCTACACTACTGCCTACACTACTGCCTACACTTCTGCCTGCACTAATGCCTGCACCACTGCCTACACTTCTGCACGCAGTTCTCTTTACACATTTTACCCAGGCGCGTAGCACCGCCGTTGGCGGTGGTCCGGCCAGGGGGGGGGGTTCTGGGGGGGGGGGGGATCTCCCCCCGGAAATATTTTGAAATTAGGGTGCAAAATCCTGCATTCTGGGCACTTTTGGCATTGTTTTACTATTTCCAAGAAAACAACTATGGACAGCATTTAAAGCCTGTTATCTCATCCACCATTGAATAGGTGTACAAAAACTCTCAGCAAAACTAGCGAGGAAAAGAAATGCAGGCAAGAAATAATAATATGTTACAGATGGCGTACAATATGCATTGAAACAATAAGTATAATATTTATTACTGTGCATGATTCCGCTGCTGTGTACGAAAGCCAAAGCCGCGGAAATAAGACAAGAAGAGCAATCACAGGCAAACTGCTAGCTGGGTTACTTAGCTGCAAGATCAGCATCCGTGAATGTGCCAAATATTGAGCGGCTGTGATCACTGCTGGTGACATCGACGAAGGCATTGCCCAACTACACCACAGACAGTGCATCTGTCCTGTCCTTGTGCGTCTGGAGGAGCATGACTGAATTTAACCGACTCTGGCCCATTGTGGAGCGGAGATAGGTCTTGATTCTCCGCATTGCTGAGAAGGATCTCTCGCTGATGGCATTGGTAGCTGGGCTTACCAGAATCAAGCGCACCAGCTTCACAACTTCAGACAGAAGCTGCCTCTGAGAAGTGGAGTAGCCCCGCAAGAACTTCAGCACAGACCTAAACGTGACATCGTCATCAGAGGTCAGCTGCGTCTGAAGGAGGGAAAACTGGGTCAGAAGGAGGTTGGAGTCGAGATCCTCGCCGTACAACTCTGTCACTGCCTTGAACTCGTCTGTAGCGTCAACCCCTTTGGCACTCTTCAAGAGAAGGTTCTCCATCTGCGTGTATATGGCGAAGCCCTTCTGATTAAACCGGGTCTGGATGGAGGACTTGGCACTGTCAAGCACTTCATAATACAGCTGCCGATAGCGGCCTTCCGGGGAGCTGGGGTGGTATGCTGGCTCATCTCCACCTTCATACCTATGTGGACGTTTGCGTTTGCGAGGGAACTGCGGTTCAGAGACATCAAACTGGTGACTTTTTGCCACAGTAGCCTCCCAGAACATCGAAAATGAATTCTCTGTGCGCATCTTTGTGATTGTGTTCACCGTCAAACGTGCTATTTTCTGGGCTTCGGCAGCAGACATTGTTGAACTCTGGAGGGAAACAGAAAGGTTGTCACCATGTGCCAGGACAAGATGGGCCAAACTGATTCCAAAGAAGAAGTTGAAAGTCTCCATTTGAGCCTTCACTCCGATTACGCGAGCACGCACGTCGGGGTCCACACTCCCAGCCAGAACTTCATCCCACAGTTCTTGCAAGACCAGATAGTTATCCAGGATGCTTTGCAGACTCTTGCCTCGCACTGTCCAGTGGGTTGGGCACAGCACACGGAATCCTGGTGTGTTGGGCGAGATCTCAACCTTCAGGACGTCAAATCGGGCATTCCGTTTTTGCGAGTACTTAATTAACTTGCTGATCTCGCTGGTGACATCGAGGGAATCTCTGGTCAGCACAGTCGTCTTGATGGTGTCGCACATTGCCAGGTTCAGAGAGTGCCCGTAGCAGTGCACAAAAAGAGCCCTTGGCTCTTCATCTCCCAACTGCTTCGCGACACCAGATCTGTGGCCAGCCATATTTGAGGCACCGTCGTAGCATTGGCCTCGGCAACGGTTGAGTTGGAGGTTGAGTCGCAGCATGCAGTCCCGGATAGCCGCAACGATCGTATCTGCAGATATGTTGTCAATCTGGCACAAACCAACGAAATCTTCATGAGCTTCCAACTTCTGGTCAACCCACCGGAAGCACAACGCCAGCTGTTCCTTGTTAGATACGTCTGCGCACTCATCGGCCATTACGCTGAACACCTCAGCAGTATGGATGGACTTGGCCACATTCCGGAGTATGCTATGCGACATTAGCTGAAGGATTTCTTTCTGGATTTCGGGGGAGCAGTACTTATCCACACGTCGCTCCAGCCAAGCACGCAACTCGGGAGTATGTAGCTTCTGTAGTTGCAGCAGTTGCATAAAGTTCGACTCTGCATCGTCGTGGCCACGCAAGGGAAGACCTTGGCGACCCAAAAACTTCATGTTCTCTAGGATTCTCATGAACATTCGCCGATTCAGGGCTTTCTCCTTGGCATGGGCTTGACTTAGCGCCTCACCAATGTCCGGGATAGTCTGCGGTAGCACAAGCATCACCTAGACAGCGTCGATGTGACACAGCGACTTTTCGTGACGGCGGAACCCCTCCGTGGCATCTTTCCATTTTTTGAAGCCCTTAGCAATGAAGGCCGAGTCCTTCGATGGCGCTTTCAGCTTCCCTTGCTGATCAGCAAAGGAACACAAATGGCAGGTCACAGAATCCGTCGACTCGTCGTAGTGCAACCAGTTGAATTTATCGAACCAAGCTGGTTGAAACGGACGCTCAACGATCGATGTTCGCCCGAAACTTCGCTTTGGAAACGCAAAGTTCCGAGGCTGATGAGCCTCCATGGTGTCCACACAAGCAGCAATCAGAGAGGAAAAAGACACACAACTACGAGAATTCTTTGGAAAAAGTGGAACACAAAAAGCAGCGGATCAGCGAAGGCGTGCAAGCGAAAAGCGTCCGGGGATGTGCATCACACAGTGTACATGGTCGTAGGCCATACCGGTAGCCCTATATGCACGTACACTCGCATGTGTAACGCGTAGGGCTCCCTGGTGAAAGCCAGGATGTCGTACGACCCCCTACGACTCCCTGGTGTAGGCCATGCAGCCTTGCAGGGCCTTCAAAAAAACGTGGTCGGGCGAAAAAGTGGTCGTGTCATTAAGCAAGCAGTGTAGGGAAATTATTGCCACTGCCTACTGACCAGTACTTTGGCCGAGTGGTTGTGTGCTTTCCTGCCAATCGCAAGGTTCTGAGTTCAAGACCAGTGCTGACACCAGTGAGCGTGTACATTGTTAACAAATGCTGTGATGCAAGCGTAAAGCACTTTACATGCAGTTAACTGCTCTGACAACCACTGTTAACTGGCTACTCACTACACTGTGTTCATAGTGAGGGTAACATAGATGCAGCTAACGAGGTTTGCACCTTGTCAGGCATTGCTTGTGATACTAAGTTACCCTCGCTGTCACGTGCTACATCTGCCACCCTGGTATCTCAGGCATTGTGGTGGCCTTGTACAAGCAAAACTTCCTAAACTGGTTGTGTTTCTCAACACAATTGCATAGGCGGTTTGGTTGTGTATCTGCGATCTTTACTTTCTTCTGCTTATGTACTTCAAATAGGGAAGGGTGTTTTAAATAGGATCTGGGAACTACACAGCTCAATAAGACCTTTCTGCTTTCTAGGGATGACGACGCCGCCACATGAAAATACCACATGAAAAGACTACATGAAAAGACCACATTCAAAGGCGTCAGATGCCGCTTTTTTACGGATGGAGAGGAAAATTCAGATCCAACAATATAATTATGGGAAAGGTGAAAACCCACTTTCTGCATCAATGTTGCCCTGTTTTCCACACCTCGTGTTCCCAACTCACTGTGGTGTACAGCACAGTTGAAACAATTCTCTTCAAGTCAGGACTTGATCATGATACATATAGCTATCATTGCACAATCATGGTCTGAGAACTCAGTCACTGGGCCGGCCTGACTCATTATGTTGGAAATGGTGCAGTACATTTCACTGAACTTTACACAGGACTGATTCAACGGTTCTATACTTCATTGTTGAGTAATGCATGCGTAGAACTTACAGTGGTGAAGTGGATAGGAAAATTCCACAGCTGCCATCAGCAGCGTGATGCTCAGCATGGCCTGATACATTCAACAGGAAAGAACAGAAAACAGATTTTAAAACTATCCCTGTCTCTGTGCAGAAGTATTCGATTATAGGAATGGGTATCAAATCATCAAGGTTAGCATAACACACATACCTAACCAGTCATGTGTTCATTATCCACAGAGAAAATAGTTCATTTTTTCGTATAGAATCCCATGCAAACAGAAGTTCTCTTTGAGACCTGAGCAAGCCCATAGATCAAGTTATGTTGCAAGATAGTGTGAAGTAGACATTTGCACACAAGTAAACTAACACTAGCATACAGGGAGCACACATGGTGTATTGAGCACATTCAACTTTACCAGCATCATCTTGGCGAGCAGCAGTGGACTGACTGGCTTGATCAGAGTGTGACTGGCTGCCAGAAGAAACGCTCTCTGCCGAATCTGATTGAACAGCGGTGGCAGTAGCTCCGGCGGAGACCGGCTGGTCGGCTTGCACCCGACGCTTCCGGAATATGTCCGGGAAATCGGTGGCCAGCTGCAGTGTGGAGAGTAACAAATATACAAACAAGCAACAAACATGGCTCTGATATCAACATCAGCTAGTGTCAATATCATCCACACCACTGAGAGTCAAATCAATGAGAGGTACACGGCCGAGAATACATTGTGCATTGCGTAATGGTAGGTTACAGATGTTTTGTTGAATAAATGTTAGAGCAACTTGCATACATCAACAGACACACATAGGCTGAGAGGCGGGGGGGGGGGGGGGGAAGTAGAGAGAGACTGAGAGAGAGAGAGAGAGAGAGAGAGAGAGAGAGAGAGAGAGAGAGGCAGAGAGATAGATAGAGAGAGAGAGAGAGAGAGAAAGAGAGAGAGAGAGAGAGAGAGGAGAGAAAGAGAAAGAGAGAGAGAGAGAGAGAGGGAGAGAGAGAGACTGAGAGAGAGGGGCATACGCAACAGGCGATCAAACTCACCAGATCTTCATGCTGCCGTAGCACCTTGCAGACCTTTGCAAAGCGCTTGGCGTTCGGTGATTTCACTAGCAGCTGGTGGAGCTTGGTCGAGGTGTGATGGTAGTCGGTAACTGCCCAGCTGTGGACCAATGCTGCTGCAGCGCGTAGATGATTACTGTGCCCACGTGATGAAGATGATGATGTAAGGCCCAGGCAGGTGGCTAGTGCAGGCAGGTCGGACTCACCAAGGCTTTCTCGGACGGACTCAAAGGACTTTGCAGAGAGCAGTGAAGCATGGTTGACCGGCCATTCGAGAAGAAGCGGGGCATGATCATCGTAACTGTAGGTAGTTGAGAGAATATCCTGTGTCGCTACGGACGCTCGGACTTGCTCTGCATCGTACACAGCGAAATCAAACTTGTCGCTTGGCTCGCGAAGGTGCTGACGAATGGAAACAGAGCTGAGGATGCTCGTGGAGTAATTAGTGCCCGGGCTATACTGTGCAGCAAGCCTATCAAACACCTTGCGCAACAGAGCCAGCAGACAATAGCCATCTAGCGTATCTTCAACGGGCGCATGGACAACAGCGACAGCTTGGCGCAGGCTGTCCGTGACGGAGATGCAACCACGGGCTGTAGAATGGACTGGAGTCACTACCACCAGATTCTTCCAGAGCTCAGCAGGAATGCCGTGAAGCTCGTGGAAATAGGCGTACAGCTCTGTCTGCAGCCTGATAACTAGAGCAGTGGAGAAGCAGTGCTGAGTCGTGAAAGAGACTCCTGCGCACGCCGACCGAGGTGATGAATCTTTCTTGGCCAGTGGGCCGAGGCAGTTGTCAGCGGTCGGAAGACGGCTGGGTGCCAGGATCCTTTCTTTCTCCTGCAGCAACACACCTAGTTGTATTACCATCTGCAGCAGCAGAGGGCCTTGCCCTTCTGCTTCCTCGCAGCTGTTAAGCTTGTCAAGGACTTCCTGGACCTTTGCAACACCATCTTTGAAGTGGAGCATAACTTCATCGTCAAGCCCAGGTGGTGCAAATATCAGACCAATGACCTTGGAGAGCAACCAGTTGGGTCGGTTAACAATGATGTCGTCCAGCTCAGGTGATGAGAAAGAAACAATCTAGAAACAAAAACACGATATGCAAACCCATACACACAGCAACACACATAATTGTAAGCCGACGCACGATATATGCCAAAACATGGATACACACACATTCCACACGCATGCGCAGACAGGATATTAAAAAGGCCAAATACCTCCAAAATAATACAAAACAAAGCAAGTCACCCAGGCAATCCTCGACGCGTCATGACAGCACACTTCGCCTGACCCCACATTGAGTGGCAATGAGGAACTGTTAAATGAACCATCCTAAGTTTTAAAGAAATGAATGTAAGGGAAACGGGTACAGATGCCCTGGCTTGAGTTGCGCGGAAATCAGTGACGGATCCTCTCATGGACACAGATACAACCCTCAGGTGAACAGCCAAAGCAGGACTATGCAGCACACCCTTATAGAAACTCACTGTTGAAGATCAATCCATCTAAGGTGTAAAGCACAATGCACCTGTTGTCAATGATTTCTTTATCAGCCTAAAGCCAGCAATCTGTAGGTGATGTCCCCTGCTGTCAAGCCCCAGCTAGCCATATTGTGCACAGCAACACACTAAACCTGTCCCACAATTTTCACTTCACCTTGAAGTTTCCAGCAGCCTCACACTTACTAGTATCGGCAAGAGTACATAACCCCCCAGAGTGTGCAACGCCTGATCCAGCTCTGCATAGGGTCTTGGTCGAGCGTAATCGGATCTTTGCGTCATAATACCGTACACATCTGAGGGGAACCCGGGGAGTCGCGGGTACTCTCGTATCAAAAACAATGGTGCCCTGCCTCGAGACCGGCCTTGCGCTGCTGTCGAGTGTACGCATGACATCAGAAGATCCGATTCCGCTCGACCAAGACCCTATGCAGAGCTGGATCGGCAATGCACACTCTGGGGGTTATGTACTCTTGGTATCGGTGAAAAACTGGTCTAGCACTGAATGATAGATAATAAACTACAGCTAATGGCAGGATGGGCATCGTAATGTTCTAGATATGGGCTGTAAAAGAAGTAGGAACAAATCAAACCGGTTGCATCTTTCCCTAAAACCAACGAATAAGAAGGGTCGTAGGGAAATTTTATTTTTGTCCCTGAGACGAGCATCATTCGTTGGAGTTGTGGAGGGGGGGGGGCAAAAATCGCAAGTCGACCGACACTACAGTCAATTCCTCGGAAACTGTCTCGCTGGCTAAAGTTCGATCTGGGCCGAATTGAGGATCAAAAACCCACTTTAAATCTCAAGAATCTCATTCTGGGTTTGGGATTTGCTTCTCCACATATTTTGCCATGGCATACCGGTGCAAATTTTATAAACCTGGCCGAATGTCTACTATGTGAGGGGGACACCAAAAAGGTAGGGTGCCAGTTTCCAATAAATCGGGAAAAAAATCACAAGTCGACTGATACTATACATATGTACATGACTACATATACATGCATGCAATTTTCATCATCCAGCAGAGCAAGCTGTGTTTGTTTCATAGGGACTGGAGGGTGTGCGAGTTAGAAATGAGCGATGTTCATTTCAGGGACGATAAAACACTTTTGCGACGACCCCTTAGAAATGTACATGACGTAGATGACATACATCATAACATGAAATACATCTACTGCAAGAAAATTGAAATTACTCAATCTGCAGAGTATGTACATACCAGACCATACGCATTGAGGATCTTGCGATATCGACGGATTTGTGCGGTGTTGATGCTGTCTTCATCGTCATCATACTCTACGTGGCTAGCAGCACAAAGCTGTCGAGAGAACTCCCGACTTGTTGAGAATGGCTCTTGGATGTTGTCATGCAGTTGTGCCAATATTTCCTCTGCCTGCCCGAGCACTTTGGGTTGCTTGCGAGATTTCTGAACATGCACATCAACAAAGTGGGTAAAGTACTCTCTGTTCACAAACATGATTAAACATTTTATCGTTAATGATGTATGTATACGTCACTGAGAACGAACACAATCCACTAATGACGTACTTCCTCCGTAAGCAAAACTTCATTGCATATTTACAGTTCAGTCTAAAGCATTCTATGGCTACAAACACACTTTGAAAAGTGGAAAACACAGCAGCATTTGAAAGATGTATATAATCATACACGGTCTGGAGGGCTTGATGGCTGAATCATGGCTGGGAGCGAGGGCATGATTCAGCCAGCAAGCCCGACAGACCGTGTATGATTGGATTTCTTACTTGACCCATGCGCACGCACGGAACGTAGCCTACTCAAACATTGAAACAAGCCAAAGACTAGATGTCACACACTGAAACGTTTTAGAGTAGGATGCATGTTTTTCAGCTCCCGTTTTTGTATCGTGTTTAGGTTACTTTTGGGGTCTCTGACCCGGATTTTTTGTTGCAAGCATGTCTGCAAACAGGGATTCCACGACCATGGCCGCAGTAGAGAGCGATGAGCACGAACAGCCGTGCGATGTCCCAGATAATCGTTTCCCCCGGTCGAACTGCTGCCGCGATTTCCACAACGCTCCGGCGGCGATAATGGATATGCTTGATGTCGAAAGAAGTGCTGCTGCAGACCGTGAGAAAAGGCTGATAAGCCATATCGACCAGCTATCTAGGACCGTTCAGGAGCTATCCAGATCAAGCGCACCGAACATTCCAAGTTCAGGAAGTTCCGCCATTACGGTTGGAGATTCTCAGGCTCAGAGCAAGTCGCAAAGAAAGAGGCGCCATGCTACTAACTGCCCAACCGTTGAGTCCGAAACCAACCCGAATACCGTAGTAGATCTACAACTGACTTCATCTGGTCCGGCCCAGCAGGATGCTGCGGCCACTTGTCACATTCCAGTCGAGAGCGGACCTACCGTACCAGGACATGACCTCAGTGACCTGGATCATCACCAACGCGTGGGTGTCACGTCGAACGTTCAAACTACTAGTAATTCGAACTCCAAGACTAAGACCAACATTCAAACTTCAGCTAATGCAGCCAGTGCAGTCAGTGAGGCCAATTTGCCAGACGTCGATGACGACAGTGAAGATGCTGCCTGGCGTTTGGTGACAGCCAGGAAACCTGTCAAGAAAAGTGTTGTGTTTGTTGGCAATCTGCTGCGCGATGCCTCACCGGAGCAGCTAGCACGCTTCGTGGAGTGTCGCTCGTCGGAGTTGAAGACTCCCCCTATTAAAATTCTCGACTGTAAAGTTTTTCAGAAGCAGAAGTCGTTGTCTGCGAGACTGGTAGTCCACGCATCGTGCAGCAAGACGCTGCTGGATCGTCGCTTCTGGCCCAGACCACTCTATTCCAGACAGTGGAATTTCGACAAGTACTCTGCCTCTGATGTCAGTGATGATACCACAGAAACCACAACATGTGACGACACGCAAGCAAACTCGGCATCCCTTTCGGAAGTGGAAACAAATGTGCACGCGCCCTCAGTCAGCGATGGCTCTGAAATCAACCATGCCTGCTGATGACCATGCTGCACACTGCCTTCTTGAATGTATGTAGTATCAGGCGCAAGACAGCCGAAGTGCAAAAGTTCTTGTCAAACAGAGGCATTCATGTCTTTGGTATGGCTGAGACTTGGCTCACTCCAGATATCTTGGACAGTGAACTTACTATCCCACATTTCAAGCTACATCGGAAGGATAGATTGCAGCAACATGGTGGTGGTGTTGGGATATACTGCCATGAATCTGTTCTTGCGCGAAGACGCACTGACTTGGAGACTGACTTAGAGCTGCTGTGGATAGAAGTTAGCGTTTCCGGTGGCATAGTGCTGGTTGGATGCTGTTATCGTCCACCAGACAAACCTGTAGCATTCTGGACCTCCCTGGAGTCCAGCCTAGACGCATCAGTTCATGCACCAGGAAAGAAGGTTCTGGCAACTGTCATGCTGGGTGATTTCAACGTTGATATGAAAATGAACCAGTCACCCATGGCCATACGAGTAACTGACTTGTTTAACAAATTTGGTATGACAAATTATGTGTCTTCACCAACACGTGCCACCACCCTTACTGAGTCAATCATTGATCTCTTCCTATCAACTTCCCCGCTGACGGGACCTTGTGACATAGTCTTTAGTATGTAGGGAGGGCCATAGCATTGACCCAAGAGTGGATGGTGTGCCATTGTCTGCTTTACTGGCAGTTGGTGGAATCAGTAAGGTCTGGTCTGGATGTCTGCTGCCCCGACCCATCTGGCCAGGCTCGACCGCATTCAGCAGAAGGCAATGGCCATCATAGGACCAGATGTGTTCCTCCAGAGTCTGGCTGCACGACGCACTCTCTCTATCTCTGGGCTGTGCTACATGTACAAGCTTCAGTGCATCGAAAGCCCACAACAGCTGACCAACATTGTCCCATCAGCTGCACCCACTGTGGCTCGTCCGCGAACCCGACACACACATCCGGTGACCCATCCTCACGAGCTCCTCAATACTCTACCACCAGCTGCACCGGAGTACATCAGGCGGTCCTTCCCGTTTGCCCACATCAGTTTGTGGAATCAACTGCCACCCTCTCTGTTCCAGCCACCAATGTCCCTGCAACGGCTGCACTGCTTCAGGGCAGCTGCATGGAAGCACTTGCTACACACTGACTAGCTGTGGGCTACAGACACCCTCTGAAAGCCACAGCTGCACAAACCTGCGACGAAGTTGCCAGCCACTCTGGTCTAGATTCACCCTGCCGTATCACTCGAGAGCTACCCACACATCTCTCAATCTCCCCCTTTTTCCGCTATTATTATTGTTATTCCCTTCTTGTGTTGTCTTGTTTTTTATTTCATTTTTTTGTCTTAAGTCACTTTCTTATGTTGGCTCATTATAAACTTATGATTAATTTTGATGCATACATGGCACTGTGACGCCGAGACCCATGGTCGGCAGAGTCCATGTATTTCATCAGCACAGCTATTAAAGGGGAAGTTAAGGCTAAAATCAAATTTTTCACCAGTTGTAGTCTTCGGGGTGCTGAGTCGAATGGTCTTCGTCCGAGAAAGCTGAGACGCTCCCTTCCTACTTTAATCCCAATCGAACTCGCGCACTTCCACCGCAACTGGGTGACTGCACCCTACTAGAATGGGATTTGTATGCAAAATGTCACTAAAAGTAAAAGCGCCGTTTTTCGTTCTTATAAAAGCACGGATGACCGCGATTGGCCCATAATTATGTTGTAGTCTTTTGGACGCTGAGTCGACTTATTTTGGTCCGAAAAGGCTGAGATGCAGCGTTCCTCCATTATTCCCAATCGTACATGGTTGAACAAGCGGTCACGTGCTCCTGGGTGCCCAAATCACCTGGTCAATACTCCAGCAGGCGACAACTTTCGTACCAAGGTTCAACTCGAGTTCAACTCGAGTGACAGGACTGCACCCAAAAAAAGGTCAAACAGGCTAGTAAGTTGTACCCTGCAGGCACGGTGACCAGGTGACTGGTGTACGCAGGAGCACGTGACCGCTTGTTCAACCATGTTCGATTGGGGATAAAGGAGGAGCGCTCCATCGCAGCCTTTTTGGACCAAAACCAGTCGACTCAGCGTCCAAAAGACTACAACATATTGGCCAATTGTGATCATCCGTGCTTTCATAAGAACGAAATGGCGCTTTTAGTGATAATTATTTTGCATACAAATCCCCATCTAGTAGGGGGCAGTCACCCAGTTTTGGTGGAAGTGCGCGAGTTCGATTGGGATTAAAGTGGGAAGGGAGTGTCTCAGCTTCCTCGGACCACGACCATTCGACTCAGCACCCCGAAGACTACACTGACTGGTGAAATTTTGATTTTAGCCTTAACATCCCCTTTAGGGTGGCTCACACCCTCTGCGCGCGCATCGTTTGAAAAGTGTAGATTTTCAGTAAATTTTTCGGTAGTGATGATTTTTGTGCGATCAATCGTTGTAGGAAACGTCTTCTCTCTTTTCTGCAATTCTGGCGACCTAGCTAGAACCTGCTGCTAGTGTCCCTCTTCACTCGTTCTTTCTATGAAAGGGGAAGGCAGCACTCGCAGAAGATTTTCCAAGAATGCAATGTCGACTGGTGCTCGTACTATAAGAAGGAAGAAATCAAAGTCCGCTCTTGAATCATGCCTGAGTCTTAAAAAATTATTTCTGAATACGCTTGTGTAGATTTCCTGCCAGTGCCACTGACATTTTGCGACCTTCAAATATAACTTGCTCGATCATCTCCCGCACTGACTGGCAAATTCGTCAGGTAGCTGTGGATGGATCGATTCAGGGAGATCGAAGGTAAATACATCGAAGCACTTCAAACACGTTTCAAGACGCACTTCAAATTTTGTAATTGTGTCTTGAAAATTGTTCAGAACAATTCGTACTTCAATACGCTGTTGAATTGTATCCTCTGCTTGGGAGTCTCGACTGTTTTATTGCTGGATGGCTTTCCTCAACACCGTTCACTGTACATGTATCGCGGAACGCAGATTGGATGGCATTGGAGGTGAATTTAATAATTTGTGACTGTGTCATCAACCAAGTGAGGACATCAAAATATCAACAGGGACGCTCCGAAAATCACAAACGCTGCGAAAGAGATATGAAATGGTCTTACACACTGGTGGGTATTCCACATTCATTGTGTCATATCTTTAGACTGTCCGAAAGTTTGTCGTGCCGTGCAACTTTCACAGACTAATCCGATAATTGGCATGTGGCCCTATTGGCACGCACTCATGCGTATGCCGCTGAGTCTATAATGTGCACGCACATGTGTGTATACATATACAATTAATTTTATTACGTATGCAATATTAGGCAATCTACATGTACATATATATGTGTGTGCACTCACTCCTATGACATAGAACGACAGTGCAGGCTATGTAAAGTCGCACGAATGTGTGTCACCCGGGTGTGTACATGCATGCTCTCCTGTGGGCGTTTTGTGTGCGCGCCTGGCGTGGCATAACGCCGTTCAATATGACTAGTGTTGAACCGTGGTTATTTGCCCCCACCCCCTCTTTTTTCTGTATGCGTTGGATATGCAACTTATGACATAAACTCGGTTGTTGAAAACGAATGCCATGCACCACAATGGATTGACAAGAATATAATACAAGTAGCACTGTAAAAGCGCTGGTAATACTCATGTTGCAGCCATGGCAGTTGTGATTAGCTTTCCAAGTCAAGCCTGCTGCAGAAATTATTGCACTCTGAGTCTGACCAGCTGGAGTGGCCCAGGACTGCCGGTTGTGGAGAACAGGAGTGATGCTTGTATATACGCTTGTACAAGTATTTACATGATGTACTTCGAAGTAACGTTAGGTGTATTACTTGTGTGTTCTTCTGCCTGTGCGCGTGTACATGTGCTGGTCAGTGTGGAACCACCATCCATATCAGATCATACAGCTGCTATCAGTCTCAGCAGCTTATATCTGGCAAATAGGGTTTAGTGGCTCGATTTGGCTTACTGTGTTCAACAGAGTGGCATTGCACACAGCTACTTGATGTTATACAGTGTAGTAGCATCTTGGAAATTATATATTTTTGATAGTTAGGTTCGGTAGAAACTTCGCCAGTGTGGCTCTTAGCTTCATTACCACGGAGACTAAGCATTCAAGTAATGCACAAAGAACAGTGGCTAGATGTGAAGTGAAAAGCCATTGGACAATACCCAGTGGAATACGCATTTAGTATAGATGTATTGCTTGCTATGTTGGCAGCAAACACTGTATAATATAATAATTACATTACCAGTAGAAAGTGCCCAATGTGCATTGCTTCAGCACTATGTTTTGTACAAAGCAGTCAACAAATTCCACATCACTATCGGCTTCATGTTGGAGAAAGTTGTGAAAAACATTAGAGCATACATGTGAACTCAATACACATACTCAGCTACATGTGTGGCATTTAGTATGTGGGCGACTTCAAAAGTTCTATTTTGGTAGTTTGCTTTCCGTAGAAGCTGTCTAACTTGATCCAAAGCTCTACTACTATGTTCCGAAGATGTTGTAATCAAGTAAAAATGGTCATCTTCTAGCAGAATTCTACCCACTTCTACAGCTAATGCTGATATTTAGCAAGTATACTACTGTCCTGATGTTCGACATCAAGAAAAATGTGGTAACTACCAGTGCTACGGCCAAAAAGGTGGTTTTCCGGCATTTTTTGGCCTAAATTGGCATATTGTGAGTATGCTATGTTTGGCCCCTCCCCCGAGTGAAACCGGCAGGTAAAACGTGATAAAAATTTGTCTCCGTACACAAGATATCCAACGGAACAAAGTACAATCGTTTGTAGGCACGTTTCAAACCCAAAAAAATTGGACCCGAGGGGTAGGAGCCACCTTAACTGGCATTGTGGATAGCGCCTACCCAGTCCAATGTCCTTTTTGTCTTTCAACATGATTTGTAGGTTTGTCTTCTCTTTAAAAAGAAAAAGGTTAAGTTCTGTTGCTCTGGCCTGGCGCGAATGACTAGATGCTACTTGTTGCGATCAAATATATCGCTCAAACCGTTTTCCGGAAAAAATTTCTTAAGGAGAATCAAGGATAGAGATTGCCCGACTTACATGTACATCGTTCTTTACAGAGATAGTGTCGGGTTGGAGATCTAGTAGTAGATACTTGACTACTTCCAGATGTCCATTCCCGGCAGCGCAATGTACAGGAAGGTCACCGTTCTGTGTACAGGTAACACACATGACCAGACATTCCTATGCGTTATCCATCAGAAAAGTACTTATATTGGGTATAATGCACAATCCACTACGAAGCGAGGCAGTCTCACGCACAACATTGTGATAAGTCAATTGACAAACTGGTTACAAGCTAGTGCTGGAAACCCCCAATACATGCTTTTGTGCTGGGCACGAGATTGGTTAGTTAGCATACTGTTTGAGCCAAAGTAATGTTGCAATATTCCTCTTGTGGTTTGAGGGGCATATGATGGGTGCAAGTATACAATACTAAGAACACTTTTGAATCAAATTAGAGGCCACATGCCACGTACTGCTCTTTTCTCTCCGAAACTCAACACTTGCAAGCCAGATATGCTTTGTGCAGCCATCAGTGCCGGGAAGCAGAGTCACCAATATTCACAGGTACTTTTGCAGCAAATAATCGGTTTGGTAGCTGTTTCAGCCTGATACATCCCAGCAATTGACATAATTTTATCAAGCACAGTAGTCCTCATTGGCAAGAAGAGTGTTGTAGGAGTAACAGACTACAGAAAGGAGAGTCAATGATAGAGATTGCTTTAACTTACCCTGCCCTTCACAGAGATCATGTGGGGTTGGAGATCTAGTAGATACTCGACGACTTCCAGATGTCCATTCCCGGCAGCGCAATGAACAGGAGTGCCACCGTTCTGTGTACAGGTAACACACATAACCAGACATTCCTATGCGTTATCCATCAGAAAAGTACTTATATTGGGTATAATGCACAATCCGCTACGAAGCGAGGCAGTGTCACGCACAACATTGTGATAAGTCAATTGACAAACTGGTTACAAGCTAGTGCTGGAAACCCCCAATACATGCTTTAGTGCTGGGCGCGAGATTGGTTAGTTAGCATACTGTTTGAGCCAAAGTAATGTTGCAATATTCCTCTTGTGGTTTGAGGGGCATATGATGGGTGCAAGTATACAATACTAAGAACACTTTTGAATCAAATTAGAGGCCACATGCCCCGTACTGCTCTTTTCTCTCCGAAACTCAACACTTGCAAGTCAGATATGCTTTGTGCAGCCATTAGTGCCGGGAAGCAGAGTTACCAATATTCACAGGTACTTTTGCAGCAAATAATTGGTTTGGTAGCTGTTTCAGCCTGATACTTCCCAGCAATTGACATAATTTTATCAAGCACAGTAGTCCTCATTGGCAAGAAGAGTGTTGTAGGAGTAATAGACTACAGCAAGGAGAGTTAATGATAGAGATTGCTTTAACTTACCCTGCCCTTCACAGAGATCATGTCGGGTTGGAGATCTAGTAGATACTTGACTACTTCCAGATGTCCTTTCCCGGCAGCACAATGTACAGGAGTGCCACCGTTCTGTGTACAGGTAACACACATGACCAGACATTCCTATGCGTTATCCATCAGAAAAGTACTTATATTGGGTATAATGCACAATCCACTACGAAGCGAGGCAGTGTCACGCACAACATTGTGATAAGTCAATTGACAAACTGGTTACAAGCTAGTGCTGGAAACCCCCAATACATGCTTTAGTGCTGGGCACGAGATTGGTTAGTAAGCATACTGTTTGAGCCAAAGTAATGTTGCAATATTCCTCTTGTGGTTTGAGGGGCATATGATGGGTGCAAGTATACAATACTAAGAACACTTTTGAATCAAATTAGAGGCCACATGCCACGTACTGCTCTTTTCTCTCCGAAACTCAACACTTGCAAGCCAGATATGCTTTGTGCAGCCATCAGTGCCGGGAAGTAGAGTCACCAATACTCACAGGTCTTTTGTAGCAAATAATCGGTTTGGTAGCTGTTTCAGCCTGATACTTCCCAGCAATTGACATAATTATATCAAGCACAGTAGTCCTCATTGGCAAGAAGAGTGTTGTAGGAGTAACAGACTACAGCAAGGAGAGTTAATGATAAAGATTGCTTTAACTTACCCTGCCCTTCACAGAGATCATGTCGGGTTGGAGATCTAGTAGATGCTTGACTACTTCCAGATGTCCTTTCCGAGCAGCGCAATGTACAGGTGTTCTACCGTTCTGTGTACAGGTAACACACATGACCAGACATTCCTATGCGTTATCCATCAGAAAAGTACTTATATTGGGTATAATGCACAATCCACTACGAAGCGAGGCAGTCTCACGCACAACATTGTGATAAGTCAATTGACAAACTGGTTACAAGCTAGTGCTGGAAACCCCCAATACATGCTTTAGTGCTGGGCGCGAGATTGGTTAGTTAGCATACTTTTTGAGCCAAAGTAATGTTGCAGTATTCCTCTTGTGGTTTGAGGGGCATATGATGGGCGAAGTATACAATACTAAGAACACTTTTGAATCAAATTAGAGGCCACATGCCACGTACTGCTCTTTTCTCTCCGAAACTCAACACTTGCAAGCCAGATATGCTTTGTGCAGCCATCAGTGCCGAGTGCATACAAATCCCCATCTAGTAGGGCACAGTCACCCAGTTTCGGTGGAAGTGCGGGAGTTGGATTGGGATTAAAACGGGAAGGGAGTGTCTCAGCTTCCTCGGACCACGACCATTCAAAATAATAAATTCTACTACTACTACTACTACCATTCGAATCAGCACCCCGAAGACTACAATTGGTGAAATTTTGATTTCAGCCTTAAGGTGGCAGACTACCCAAAAATTCGCTGAAAAATCGAATTTGTAAATTCACATTGAGTGCTACGTCAGTTGAAAGAGCATGAATAGCTGCAAATTCTCTGATAATTGTGGCCCGATCTGACTGGCCGTTCAAGAGTTATGGCCGAAAATGTGCCCTTGCAAGGAAAGATTTTTTTGTTGCACGCTGTCATTTGTTGGCAGCACTGTATTTGAATGTGAGCAGACCGTGCGCAACTTGTCGTATCATGGAAACACGTGAAAGTGTGCAGAATTTTGCTCCAAGTCCAAAAAATCAGGTTTTTGAGCCACGTATTGGGCAGGACTTTTGCCAACACCCTCGTGACGTTGCAGATATGTGGCTTGATTATTGTAGTTGACGTTGATTTAGTGACTTTGGCAAGTTTGAGTCGTGTCAAGAAGTCAGGTAGGATTCAGTACTAGGCAGTAGTGAAACGTGAGTGGTAGTCTTTGCCGGTTTCTGAGGGTATCCTGGATTTGGTGTGCAGCGCTGTGGAAATGGCTTGCTGTGGAGGTCCCAGCACTGGATGTTGTATCAAAGGTACGACCTCGTAGCACGTGCTAAACCTAAAAAAATTCAAAAATTGACTTGGGTCTGTGGGAGTGTGTGAGAGAACGCCCACTCGTTCCGTTGTGACAGATTCCAGGGCCTCGTTGAGGGGCCCTACCCCATCACCCATGGCTGCTTCTGGACTTGTTCTAGGTTTGGGTCCCGCGCACGAACAGAATGAGCACGAAAATGTGAAAAAATTGTAAATGCATTTGTTTGGCTCCTGGGTGGCTCGCACACCGTGGCACTATGCCGGAAATTTGAGTTTTTCCGGGCTGGAAAGCCTGTCAGTGCGGCGCAAGAACTTGTAAATCATGTCTTGAGGGCCAGCATAGTGGCAGGAGTGTGTGGTCAAAATTTCACTCAAATCCATTGAGAAACACCAAAGTTACGGTCAATTGTGTAACAGGTTTAATCAAACTTGAAAAGTCAGAGACTGGTTGAGCGTGCCTCGACCAGTTATATGCAAAATGTGATAGTATACATGTGGCAATGGCGCCAATGAAAGTGCTAATAGACAGGCGTAAGACGCATGAGGTGCGAGGGAGTGTAAAGTTATAGAGAACAGGGGAAAACTGTTACATCATCCCCCTCCTATGGAGAGGAAGGAGCTTATAACCCAAATGCTCAAGTGGAATAGAGTACAATAAGCGCAAACACGTGCGAGACGAAAAAAGGCTTCGCACTGAAGTAACACAATAAGACGACTGAAACTCCATGCAAATAAAGTGTAATAAGCTCAACAAATGTGTAAGGTGAAACTAGAAGTTCAACTGCAAAACTCAGCGGGCAGAAGCCAAGGTTTTGTACTTCTGAAGTGGAACAATGTCATTACCAGATTCATCCAACAAATAATGTTCAGGCTCCCAAGTGGCATCAGAGTAGCCTTGCCACTTGACTAGGTACTGAAGCTGATTCTGCCGGCGGCGGTGACTGAGAATGTTCTCCACCACATAGCGGGCATGACCATCAAGGTCCGTGATAGGCGGAGGCGTAGGCTGTCTCCTATTAGGAATAGCGTTCTTCTCGTAGGCACGGAGTGCCGACACATTAAATACCGGGTGACAGCGGCTGGTATGAGGCAACTTGAGCTTGTAGGCATTCGGGCCGACCACATGGGTTATAGGAAAGGGGCCAAACCACTTGGGGCGTAATTTATGGGATGGTCGGTCCCGAGCTTCAGGAGTCAGGAGGAAATCCCGGTAGACCATTACCAAATCTCCCACCTTCAGCTTTCCCTCGACCCTTGTCCGATCTGCATAGAAGGCCTGACGAGCTTGAGCTGCCACTAACGCATCTTGTGAGATTTTGACCGCGTCTTGTCTTGCTTGCAACCAATCAGCTGAATCTCTGCCTCCCTGAATAGGGTTGAGGAAGTCGGGTGGCGCTCTGGGATTTAGACCGTAATTTAAGAAGAACGGTGTGTTTCCTGTAGATGATTGAGTAGCGCTGTTGATAGAAAACTCACAGAGAGGTAGGAGCATATCCCAGTTATCTTGTTTATGATTTACAAAAGCCCTCAGCACATCCTCTACTATTCTGTTTACTCGTTCAGTTAGGCCATCTGTCTGAGGGTGATTGGCAGTACTAAATGCTAGTTTCGTTCCTAAGCGATCAAACAATTCCTGAAAAAATGCTGCCGTAAATCTTGGATCACGATCACATACAATACTAGAACTCAAACCATGAAGTCGAAATACATGTTGAATATACAGATCAGCACTTCCTTTAGCGTCAATAGTAGAGGAAGTAGGTGCTAAATGTACACACTTTGTCAAGCGGTCTACAAATACATATATAGCATCATGACCTGTATCGGTCCTAGGCAAACCCATGATAAAATCCATCGAGATATCCGCCCACGGCTGACTGGGCACTGGTAAATTCTGCAAGAGACCAGTTTTTAGCTGGCCGCCTTTAACTCGTTGGCAGACGTCACATGACTTGACAAACGCCTTTACATCCAGTCCCATTCTGGGCCAATAGAAATATCTAGCGAGTCTGAAATAGGTGCGATCTCGACCGGGATGCCCCGCAGTCACACAGTCATGGTATTCTTGAAGCAGGGCGAGTCGGAGTTTGCTACTCTTTGGAATGCATAACCTGTTCTGTGGTGAAGATCTGAGATAAAGATAACCGGGTGTTTCATTTAGAAGGTAACGGTCGTGCAGATTGTCATGGCTTGAATTTTTCAGTCTCCTGATAATGGGAGCAAGATCCTTGTCGCACTTGTAACCGCTGACAATTAACTGCGCTAAGTCTGGATTAATCTCTAGGGTATGCTCTATGGCATTCAACTGAATGTTAGGAGGATAGGATGACCCGCCTATTTCAGAATCACTGAACAGATCTGGACGGCGTGAAAGCGGGTCGGCAATGTTTTTCTTTCCTGGTTTGTGAAAGACCGTAAAGTCATAGTCAGCTAAAAACTCTACCCATCTTGCCTCACGCTTGGTGAGAGTCGGTTTGGTTCGTAAATAGACAACACCCATATTATCAGTCATCAGGTCAAAGTGGCGGAATAGATAGATTCTCCAGCACTTTAATGCAAATACCACAGCCAACGTTTCCCTCTCGGCCGCAGTATAGTTGCGTTCTGCAGCTGACAGTTTCCGACTACAATAGGCTACGGGATGCAAATCCATATCTTCTCCCTGCTGCAGGAGCACACCCGCCACGGCAAAGTCACTTGCGTCAGTTTCTACCGTGAAGCTTTTCTCAACATCGGCCAGTTGCAACACTGGCGCCTCGAGTAATGCTGATTTTAGAGACTCGAATGCCTTCTGTCTAGCAGCGCTCCATTCAAAGCGTGAATTTTTTCCGGTGATTTCTTCTAATGGACGAGAGATGGTCGAGTGTCGATCTATGAACCTTCGGAAATAGTTTGCAAAGCCAAGAAACTTCCTCACATCAGTTACTGACGACGGAGTTGGCCATGTTTCCACAGCACTTATCTTCTTGGGATCAGCGGAAATTGATGTGCCGTTGATTTTATGCCCCAAGAAGAGAACTTCTCTCACGCCGAATTCGCATTTAGACTGTTTGCAATACAGCTCACTATTTCTAAGTGTTTCTAGAACTGTTTGAAGATGATGCTGATGATCTTCCCAGGTCTTGCTGAAAACTAGAATGTCATCCAAGAATACTACAACGAATTTTCGGAGATGCGGTTGCAGAATAGAGTTCATGAGTGACTGAAAGGTGGCCGGGGCATTAGTCAGCCCGAATCCCATGACTCTAAATTGGAAGTGGCCGAACGGCGTATTAATGGCCGTCTTAGAAACATCCGAGTCTTGAATTCTGATTTGATTGTACCCCGACCGCAAGTCCAACTTGGAGAAATATGCACTGCCCTGGATCGTGTCGAATAAGTCATCAATATTAGGAAGACAAGCTTTGTTTTTGATCGTAATTCTATTCAATTCTCGCCAATCGCACACCATTCTCAGAGTACCATCCGACTTTTTCACAAAAAACACAGGTGCACCGTATGGCGACTTACTTGGCTCAATGAATCCCCTCTCAAGTAATTCTGACAGCTGTGACTGGAGCTCGTCCATCTCTGGTTTCGGCAGGCGGTAGGCGGGTCGAGACGGTGGTCTGGCTCCATCTTCTATCTGGATTTCATGGTCAACTGGTCTCTTCGGTGGAAGCTCATTCGGCAGCTCGTCTGGAAATAAATCCTGGTACCTCTTGAGCAGGTTCTGGATGTCTTGTTGCTCTGATTCCTGGAGTTGTGGCCCGGAACGATTCTCCTCGTTTGCAGCAGTGACCCATGCAAGAAACCCCTCGGCTCCACTCCTCAGGGCATGACGAGCTTGTCGGCCACTGATA